TTTGAAACACATGGGTCATTTAGTTGTGGCTTCCAGGCAGCTCCACGAAATGCTTGGGCTGGAGAATTGCAAAAGTTTATGATTTCTCACTGAGGAATGAAATGTGACGCAGTAGAGCAAACTGCCAACATTTAACACCAGATGTTAATGTAAAAATTGGAAAATTGTCATCCCACGTGGTCACCTGACTCCCAACCTGCAAAAGCCCATCACAGTGTCCGTACAGCATCATCAGTTCTGGCTTCTTCCTCTACTAAACGTGCCTGTTTGTTTGTTTGTTTTTATTAACGTAAAATAATAATTCTGAGTGGTTTAACAGATGTGATTACATCGTATCAGTCTAGAGAGGCATTTTGTGCGGACACTAACAGAGCAATGTTATTTCTTACCATAAAAATCAGAAGTATGGCCTTTCTTGATTTGCTCTATTTCCTAGTGATTTTCTTAAATCCTTTAAAACATGTTTAGTTTCCTTGTCTTCATTCCATACCTATCTAATTGCATGGAGTGCTAAAAGAAAGGAAGGGAGGGAGGGAGGGAATTTTGGTCGGTTGTCGAGTGGGAAAGAGAACTGGAAATGTAGATTTGATTTGTTTGCTTTCCTTCCTTGAATCTGCACACTTGAAAAGTCAAAGAATGTTGAGAAGAAGGATGAATGTTGAGAAGGAGGATGGATTATTTATAAATCCCATGTCTATGAGGGAGCGCTGGTAGAATAGTGCCTAAGGCACTTGACTGCTAACCAGAAGGCTGGCGGTTCAAACCCACCAGCCACTCCTCAGAAGTAAGGTTGGGCAATCTACTTCTGTAGTGATACTGCCTTGGAAACTCAAGGAGGGGTCTCTATGAGTCAGGTCCGACTCGACGGCAGGTAACAACAACATGTCTATGAGGAGCACTTGGCATGGAATGGAGAGATGCTGGTCAGAAGCTCTGGATTTGCTACCAGACCTGAGCATGTTCCAACTCTTGTACTTACTGTTTGATATTGGGGAAAGCATTTTATTCTGTAGGCCTCAATTTCCCCTTTTTGTAATGGATTTGACATGAATGCCCCGACTACCTCACAGGGTTGTTATAAGTTTCAGAAAATACAGCTTGTGTAAAAATGATCATCAACTGAAAAAGCACTCTGCGAATATGAAGAAAAAGACTCAAGCTCTGTTACTTGTATTTGAATCTTGAAGCTGAGGGGCAAGGAATCTCCTCAAAGCCCAGAGTCAGGATGTCATTGTTGGGTGCCATAGAGTCAATTCTGACTCACGGGGCATAGAACTGCCCCATGGAGTTTTCTTGGCTGTAATCTTTATGGAAGCAGACCGCTAGGCCTTTGTTCCATGGAGCTTCTAACAGCCACCTTTTCATTTAGCACCTGAGAGCTTACCACTGTGCCACCAAGGCTCCTTAGAGTCAGGGTATAAGGGACTTTAAAATAGCCCTTTTCTAATGGGGCTTGAGTGAATAACTTACTATATGTCTGTATGCTTCTGTTTTTTAAAATTGTGGATGTATGGGAGAGAAGGGTGTGGAGATAAAATCTTAGTAAATTGTTAGCAAGAAACTGAGTGTGTCCAACTGACCCAGACAAAGCACCACCATAGGGTTTAACACCTCTGTGGAGAGAGAGAGAATGGAAACAGCAGTATACCAGAGGCTCTTCTAGAGAAATATAAACAAGTGCAAGAGCCAGGCCCTGCCCTCAAATGAGCACATAATTCTCTCTCCTTCTCAATAAAAACAACCACAAGTACACAGTGGACAATTCTGGCAAGAACAGCTCACAGAATGGGCAAATGAGGACGGGCCTTAGAGACCATCCTATCCGATTTTGCCATTGATAGATGAAGAACTGAGATCTGGAGAAATTAGGTGGCATGGCCCCGCTCACACAAAGTCTCAACATTGCTTGATGACAAGCCAGTGCCCCTGGCTCCTTTTCATGTAAACTTCCCTTGATCTCACACTGAATATGAAGGAGTCTTTGTCATTTAAGTCTCAGACACAATCTAATTTTTTTCTTTCCTTTGAGGAACTAAATTTATTTTTCAGAGAGTCATGTCACCTCATGAGATATATAACTGGGGATTCTTTTCTCTGTCCCTGCTTCATCCCTTGCTTGTTTTTCTTTTTCTCTCTCTTTACCTTCCTTTCTAGGTATGGTATAAACTGGAGACAAATGAAAAAGATAAAGATAGCAGACTTCCATCAGAAAAACACAATTTACAAATGTGTATAATAGTTCAGAACTCGGGCTAAGACTTGAAAATCCCAAGATTACCAAATTAAATCCCGAAACAAGAAAAAGAAAAAAATTCTTTACAAATCATTTGATAACATTTATGTAAAATTAAAATTTTATTATTCCCCCAGTGCACTACCATCCCCGCCCATTCCTCAGCCTTTTCATCTCGAGGTTCAAAATAAACCCTGGCACTTGTAATTGAATGATCTCGCAATGGGTGTGTGAGTTTATTTGTATCTCATGGGGCTAAAGTAAGCTGATAAAGTGTTTCTCTCACAGTCATCCCATGCTATTGGTTTATAAACAGCCTTATTTAGTTTGAACTGAATTTTCAAACTTGGACTATTCCTAATCTTTTCCATCCCTTACACGCAGACCCAATTGGTTCATTTTATCCTTGACTCTGATCCTAAGAATGATATACATTTCCCCCAGGCATGTAAAGAGTAGATTAGTGGGGAAGAAAAATCAGTTGACCAATGTAACAAAAACCCTGCCAAATGACTTCTAATAAAAAAGAGACAAAACATCAAACACCAATAGTGCCAAAATATTTACTGAAAGTTTTTAAATCTTTCAAAAATGTTACAAAAAGCAAGCGAACATAGTGAAACTAATAACAAATTAGACATTGAAAACTAACATCTGGGCAAGTCTAGGCAAGAATGTAGGGAAAAGGGAACTATCTGAGCATTTCGTATGGTTAAAGCACTGTTTCAGGCTCTTTTTCACATACTATCTCATTTCATCTCATTCAGGAAAAATTATCCCAAACTTGGAAATAAGGGAAAAATGACTACCATGTGATCAATTAATATAATGCTAGCACATCATTCATCAAGCCTACCCAAGGGTCATCTGACTCTCTTGGGAAATGTAACTTTGATAATTTAAGAGGAACCACATTAAGGATCCTGTAAACTGACAATGTAGGACTTTCTGAGAGAGAAAGTCACCTTAAAGATTATGTTTTTGTTTTTGTTTTTGTTTTGCCTTGTAAACAGTAACCAGTTTTATATTTTACTTAGCGATCATCATTTATTATGGCCTTCCCCATTACTTAACTTCCAGTTCTTCATATTTGAATTACTCAGTGGCTCTGATGATGAATTAATGAAACTTAACTCATCATCTATTCGTATGAGAATTATATTTTTAATGATTTGAGTTTGTGCTTTGACAATGATCAAACAATCATATGAGGTAGGAAGTATATCCTCATTTTAAAGAGGACAAACCCAGGACTCAGAAAGGGTCCATTACCTGCCCAAGGTTACAGAGGTAATAAGTGACAGAGCTGGGGTTTGAATACAAATCTTTCTGAATCCTTTTACTTTCCTTTGAGGGACTAAATTTATTTTAAGAAAATACACTGGTGAGTCACATGTGGACATAAAAATTAGAGTGGATTATCTCCAAACACTCAACCTCATTTACATATATTTATATGTTTATATTAGAAACATGACAGTTGGGTTTCAACAACAACTCCAAATAATCTAAACTTGAGTCTTTAAGTAGTAATTGAAGAGATTGCTCATAATTTGTTTGATTTGAACTCTTAACTTTTTTAAATTGGACATGCTGAAAGTATATGACCATAGACTGTATGGAATACAATTATTAAAGTGTGAGATCTCAATGCTTTGTTGATTCCATTAATGCCTCTGGATGATGCTGAGATAATTACTACCGAGGCTGTTATAAAAGCCATGGAGAAGTATGAAGAATACTTACCAGAGGGTTTCTCTTTGACATTTTGTGAGGATGTCCTTAAATGAGAGTCTGAGAACCTTTTAGCATACACTAATGTAGCATAGTGCCTAAGGCACTTGACTGCTCACCAGAAGGCTGGCGGTTCAAACCCACCAGCCACTCCTCGGAAGGAAGGTTGGGCAATCCTACGGGGTCGCTATGAGTTGGGGCCGACTCGACGGCAAACAACAACAATGTAAAGGTAGGAGCTCTGGTAGCATAGTGCCTAAGGTACTTGACTGCTAACCAGAAGGCTTTTGGTTCAAACCCACCAGCCACTCCTTGGAAGGAAGATGGAGCAATCTACTTCCATAGTGATAGTGCCTCAGAAACCCAAGGAGGGGTTGCTATGAGTCGGGGCCGACTCGACAGCACATGACAACAACAAAACAACAACAACAATGTAAAGATGCTCCATTTACTCTTTTCCCAGACATCTACTAATGGTACATTGAGAACCACCAACATGCTTTTCTCTTCAGGCATGAAGGTGATTTGTTTTCCTGACTGAACACAGGGAAACATCAAGACCGGAGAGTGACAAGCTGTTCTTATTCTGAAAGCACCTTAGTACACATTTTAAATCTTGAAAACGTATTTTGGAAAAGGCTGCTCTTGCATATATGTGTTAGTTTGTCAACAAGCATAATTTTCAACGGGATATATGCCTTTGGAATGTACCTGAGGATCTACTCAATGTATATGCAGATTTATAAGTTTTTCTCCAGAAATGAGATTCTAAAGTTAGGGTCAATTGGTATCTAGGTAGATAAAAATTTGTGCTTTTATTATGAGGGTTTTTGCACCAAATCAAGAACTAGGCAGGCACCATCTGGCTTGGTATCCTGCAGAGCTAGTCCCTTCTTGATAGGCACTGTTAAATCTGTCTGCCCCAGATTTAAGTTAAGTGAGGCAATCTGCCCCACCCTAAACTCTGAAACCAGCTGAATTTTAGCTCCAGCTGAAGTGAAAAGATAATTATGTGGTTCAAATTCATCTTGACTCAAAGTTTCACTGTTTTATCCTGGCTAAAGCTGCTCACTGTGTCTGTGGTTTTCTTACATAAATTTTCAATCCAGCTAGTGCTATTATACCCTGTCTTTTCCAACCCTGATGTTGATGTTGGGGGTGGAATTTTAGTGCGCATATTTTTTCCAGATGTTATAAGCTCTCCATAGCCCTCTTGGTGAGCAAAAGCGTATCCAGATCTTCTTGAGCTTGACCTGCGAGTCTGAGGCCTTCGGCTGCTTAGAGGCCTTGCCTTCTTCTGAGCCTTCTGCCACTGACGGACCTGGAGAGGAAGTAGACCCAGAGTAAGGTGATGCATTTCAACAATGGACACCAGGCAGTGGGTCACTTTGTAAAGTGAAAGACTTTTCAGTAAAAATAGTATCAACAGTGTGGTAGTTCAGTTTGTGTGTCATCTTGGCTGGGCCTGGTTGAGTGGCTAGGCAGCTGGATGTAGTAGTATTCCCCATGATGAGACTGGTAATCAACTCCATGGTGGAATCTACTGTGAGCAGCTGAGTAGCTGCCTTAGGGAATGTGATCTGCTTCCTGTATATAAGCAGAAGCCTTGGGGAATGGTCTCTAGCTTATGGGACGCTTGGACCCTGCATGTAGCTGTGTCACTGTTTAGCCCCCTGCCATGCTCTGCTGACCTTGGGACTTAGAATAGACTGGAGTTAATGGCCTGCCGTGTGGTTTGGTAACATCAGAACTGTGCCACTTTATTTGTCAGCATGGCCTTGTTAGCCAGCATCCAGTAGCTGCCTGAGTGAAGAGATGCCTCTAGCTCCAGTGTGGCGGGAGCAAGAGGCAGAGCTGAAGCCCAAGGTCGAGGGCCTTTCACCTAGCCCCTGGAGCCTGGCACTTTGAACTTGGACTTAAAGCCTCCAAACTGAGAGAACAAACTCCTGTTTGTTAAGGCCATCCCATTTGTGGTATATTCTTGTCAGAGAGGCATTAGGTAACCAGAACAAACAATAACAAAACACTCACCTTCATTGCAAAAGAGAGCTTTTTGCTGAGGAAAAAAAAAAAAAAAAAAAGGAGAAGAAATTTTCTACCCAAAAGATTATTCTGGACCCAGATCATTTCTTATTCCTACCCAAAAAAAACAAACTCACTGCTGTTGAGTCGGATCCGACTCATTGCAAGTCCGATCCACCTCATAGTGAGTCCTCCTTGGGTTTCTGAGGCAGTATCACTACGGAAGTAGATTGCCCAACCTTCCTTCCAAGTTATTTCTACCAGATTATTAAATAAGTGTTAAGGCAAATTTCATTATTCTCTCCATCTCATACATCCACCTTAAATGAATAGGAACATATTGTTGTACAAAAATATTGTTTCATGTGCATCACCCAAACTCAGTTTCTAACCCTTTCTAGTCTTATACCTCCAAAACAGGTCTTTTCCCCTCTCTTTTAAAGGTTCTCAGGATCCAATAGTTATTAGTAATTTGACTAGAAGAAAATTTAGAAATAGGATTGAGAGTCAGAAATCTCCAACTCTTGTGGTAGATCAGTGTACCATAAAGACTTCCAGGGTTTTGTTTCTTTGTGGCATTTGGAAAGGTTCAACATAATTTGGGTGGATTTTCAATGTGCCTTTCGCTTCACTGTAAAATTGAGGGAAAAGCTACCAGGTTTGGTGCAAGAACCCACTGTTCTACGATTGGGCTGATGTCTTGGTATCTGACTTTCATGTCAGAAGAAAGCCATTAAGCAGAAAATCACGGACTGACTCAACAAAGGAAGAAATAAATGTCATCTTCCTTCCTTCAGCTCATCCATCATTTTACTAGGTTTACATAAGAATTAGTACACGGGACCAAAGGGAAGGACAGGCATAAGAGGAGATTCCATAAAGCATGTCAGAAGGAATCCCTTCACACTTTGGTTCCAGAATATGAGGGACATCGTGATTTAAAAAAAAAAAAAAAAACCTATTCAGGTCCTCTTGGTCCCATGGACTTGGTCACTTACCTCATCAATATTTTTCTACTTCTCATGATGTGGGCTACATATATGTCCCCTTTCCTTCCTTTCTCCTTTTCTCTTTATATTTTGGTCTTTATCTACCCTGATACTATCTTGCCAACACTTCTCTTGCCCTGAAATATTGAAATATGTTCTGGCTAATTTCCTAGCTTAGGTATTTCTACAGAGTAAATTCCAATTTACAGACAACTTGTACTTGCTCTTCAATGTTTGTAAATTTGCCCCAACTTTGAAACAGTTGAAGCAACCCTTAGTCATAACAAATTCTTCATCACAAGCACGTTCACTTGCTGCATATGCAGCTTTTAAATCACTGAAAAGCTTCAAGTCTTTTTCTTGCAGTAAAGTAAGGCTAAATAAGAACCCTATGCACCTGTTCCAATTTACCTACGAATTGGACTTAAAGGCACACTTAGGAAGGGATCTCATTCGTAAGCCTATAATCTCTTCTTTCTATTGTATTTCTAACTTTATCCTTTTCAATCCACTTATGAGGTTGCTGTTTTGTTTTGTTTTTTTCCTTAAACTTTTAGAAGGTCATATCTCCTCCATGTTTCTGGATCTGCTCCTATATTTCTTCAGGAATTTAAAGCTATTTCACCTCATATCATACTTGTCTCTCTTTTATTGTGCCCTTTTTTGCCCCAAGTCATTAACTTTCCCTATAATTTGCCCTTGCTTTGTCCCAATTGTCCAAAATGATGTTGGTAAGCTTCTATTTAAAGAACAAACCTTTTCAAATACCCAGTTTAACCTCTAGTTTATAACTCTCCACCCCCATTTAGTGTAGGCATCTCTCTTCATGGAGACTCACAGAGCTGGTAAGTTGAAGATGTGGGCAGTCTCATCTATTCTGATGTGGTGCCATAGACCTGTGGGTGTCTGATGATGGGCATTTCATTAGCACTTCCTTGAGCAGCAGTTCTCCAGTCAGGCAGAAAAGGACACCATTCCAAAAGCCAAGAACCAGCACTGCAACATACCTGATCACTCAGGGTTGGGTATAAATCCACCTTCAAAAATCTGAATGTCACCACAGGCATAACTGAAGCCACTGCCGTTAAGAGAACAATAAGCCAGATGCTTTTCTGAGTCAAGGAATGCCGAGCATTTCCTATATCATTGAAGAAGAATATACACTGTGGTCATACATAGGTCTGAATTATTTAATTAACAGGCTCTTTGTCTATTTCTGTAAGAACTCTTTGGAAATTGTGAGGCTTGGACTACCTAGGAGAGCCACTGGGTATTTTCCCCAATATATTCAATGGTAAGAAGGAGAAAGCAAGAGTGGTCTTATCACCCCTGGGAACTGCTTAGTGGCCTGATCACTTGGAGGTTGCTTGCCCAAGCCAAGCATTTTCTGGTCCAGGCTCAGACCAGCTTTACTCATGTGGCACATTTCTTTCAGTCTTAAGACCCCTTGGCTACAAATCAACCATTAAGTTAAAAGGCATATTTACTTTTTTTAATTGTTGTGAAAAAAAAAAAGAAAGAAAAGGTAACACAACATTTGCCAAGTCAACAATTTTCATGTGTACAATTTAGGGAGACTAATTATATCACTCATGTTGAAGGCACGTTTACTCTTACTGACTCTTGAATAAAAGCTATGCTATCAAAACTGCACAATACATACTGAACACACTGAATGCAGGTACAATCTCACATAATAGTCTTGTAGACTGTCTATGGCACAATGGCTGACCTTCATCTACTTCAGGGCCAAACTTTTAAATTCCATGCACCCCTTCAGAAAACCTGCCTTAAAGTGACTTGCTAATCTCTCTGATGTTCACTCAGTACATCAGGGTTCCAAGAAGATCAGGGATGCTCCCAGGCTGGTGAAAATAGCATGCCCAACACTAGGAGACTGCTGATGCAGCCATCCAACAAGCCTGAAGCCAATTTTCTTTCTTTATACTCACACTTCACATACAGCAATGTTGGTTTGAACAAAGCAATAAGGGTCATTAAGGCAGTCAGACATATTCTGTGGAAAATGCCAACCCTACTCATGTTACCTTAATGTTGGTTTTCTAGGGATTCACATGATACCCCAGAATTATCTAGGTCCCCACTCCCAATGCTCAAGTGTTAATATGATCTGCATGGGCTTTGGGAACGAAGGCTTCGATACATCTTCGTTTCTTGGCTTTGGAGGATAGACTTTTTCTACCAAAGAGCAGATTATTCCATTTGCCTTCAAACATGGCCAGAAACAAACTTGGGTCAATAAATTAACTGTCTCTTGGAGCTCCTTGAATCTCAGTACCCGTAGGCTGGAAAAACAAGCTTCACTTTGAAACCACACTCCTGCTTGCTGTTTGTTGACTACTAAGAAAAAAAAAAAAAATTTCTTTTGTAAACCCCAGTGTTGATCTAACTTTTGAAAAGTCTCATTGGAGCTCAGTAATTAATTCCTGGAATGGCATGTGCTTTGCTGGAGTGGGTGGCCCCCACACAGACGACTTTCTCCAGTGGAGAAGTTCCAGTTTCATTATGCTTGTCAGAACAGTCCTAGGACTGGAAGTCTCCTTGTGAATGCACTGGACTTTTCAGATTTGGCAACAACAACAACAACAAAACTTAAAAATAGGTTTTATGTCTTTCCTCATATGTTTATTCTTGTTCGTAACGTGTCTCTGCATGGTTGGAATCTTTTGGTAAACAAAGATTTAATATTGCATATTTAGTAAGAATGGTGCAATTTATAGATTTCCAAGTACATACAAGACAAGGTAAAAGTTGAATGAACAATGTGCTTAAGTGTATGTATACATTTAAATGGAACTACAATCTCAGGTGCCTTTATATCAAAGGAAATGTTTGCTCCTTTTTTTTGCTTTCTACGTTAGTCTTCTAACCTCTGTTTTTGTAGATTGGTTCCCCAACTAATAACCCAAAACCCATTGCCGTCCAGTTGATTGAGAGTTATAGTGACAAAGCAGAACTGTCCGACTGTGTTTCCAACGCTGTAAATCTTTACGGAAACAGACTGCCACATCTTTCTCTTGTGGAGCAGCTGATGGGTTCAAACTGCCGATCTTCCGATTAGCAGCCAAACATTTAACTACTTCACCACAACAGCTCCTATGTTCCCCAGCTAATGAGTGAAAATATATCAGGTTTGCCTGATTAAGCTCAAAGTTGACTTCTTGTATCTCTCTTTTCCACAATATGCTGGGCTGAACTTAGAAACATAACTCCCATCACTGTATCTCACATACACAAACTTCTAAGGAAGTATATTAATAACTCCTATAGGAAGCTCTGGTGGCACAGTGGTTAAAGCATTCAACTGCTAACCAAAAATCGGTGATTCAAACCCACCAGCCGCTCTATGTGAGAAAGATGATGCAGTCTGCTTCCATAAAGATTTATAGCCTTGGAAACCCTGTGAAGCAGTTCTACTCTGTCTTACAGGATCACTATGAATCAGAAACAACTCATTGGTAGTGGCTTTGGTTCTTGTTTTTTAATTAAGAATAAGAAGAGCTGGTTTCACATTGGTTAAAATGCTCAGCTGCTAACTAAAAGGTCAACAGTTTGAACCAGCTGCTCCACAGGAGAAAGATGTAGCAGTCTGCTTCCATAAATATTTATAGACTTGGAAACCCTATGGGCAGTTCTACTCTATGGGCATTCTACTCTGTCCTATAGGGTCCTTATGATCAGAATCAACTCAATGGCACTGGCTTTGGGATGTGTCAAAAGCATAATGACCTTTGCTAGGAATCATTTTGAAATGTGGAGTGCAAAGATGTACACTCTTAATAGAATCATAAGGGGCTGTTTGCTACCCATGTAATCCTCAAAATCATCCGCAATGTCTTCAATCAGTAATCAACAACATTTATTTGAATAATAATAATCACCATCATCATGGTTAACATTTATTGAAAAGTACTATGTGCCAGGCTCCATGCCAAGCTCCTTTCATACATTCTCATTTAAACCCCATAAAATTTCTATGAAAATAAGTACTATTAATACGTTCAGTTTACAACTGAGTACATTAGGGCACAGAAAGGAGTAGAAACTTGCCCAAGTTTCTTGCTAGCCAAGAAAAATAGTAAGTAGTGGAGCTGGCATTTGAACCTAGGGTGCACAATGCCAGAGCCTACTCTTCATGCTGCTTATGGACTAATGTCCAGCCATTTTGTAGAAGGCGCTAAATATTACATCATTTCTTTCTTTTTTTAAATGCAAGTAAATTCCATGGGTGAACTTTGGCTGAGATGTTGGTGATAATTTGGCCTAAAAGTGAGATTCTAGTGTTCTTTATTTTCCCTCAATTTTATATGAACTTTTCATAGGCCTTGGGGCAGCCCCAGTGCATATACTATGCTGCTTCTTCACAAAGGGACATAGCCCATAGCCTACATCACTTTGGGGACTCCATAAGATGTAGATTCTTCTGCATCTTTGGGGACAGTAAAAATTAATCTTTTGGGGCCCCTTTCAAGACTGAAAGCCTGAAGATGCCCAGCTCAATCTGTTTCTAAGATGGAATTCCTCATTCCCCACCCAACTCCCCAAAATAGGTTACAAAAATAAATAAATAGCAGCATCAAATTAGACCCCACTAGACAGTAGGACTCACTTACCAACAAATGGAAACTGGTTTGGGAAGATGTTAAAAATGCCATTGCTATGCATTGTAAATAAAATGGAGAAATACGTGGCAATGCTGCCCCAGATGAAGACATGATTAATGACAGTCCAGTAACTGGTATCCAAGGCTATCTGTAAATAAAGTAAAATGCAAAGAGGAGATCTTTGAGAACTAAAACCTCGTAATTTTACTGACTGATGTCTCCAAGAACTACTGTGCTCTACCCACACGGTTTCACCCATTGAGCTGTGAGGCTGACCACTGGCATTCTCACTTTCTGCACAGTATGGGGAGACTGATTTAACTTGATTATTTCTGGTAGACAATGGACTGTAGGCCTGTATCTGCCAACCACTGTATCTGTCCAGACTGGGGTAGAGTCAGAATGTGAAATGTTAAACTTCCTTTAAGTGAGAAATAAGAAATCAGAGTGGTTTATGATTTCAAAGTTACTTTCCAAATTCCTCTCACAACTTTCCTATTGGAAAAAGTAATTCTGTAGTGAGCAGGTGCAACATTTTATAATCTATACATAAATTTTCTACATTTCATACATTTTCATAGGACCATTTTTATAAATTCATAAACTATTCTATATCAATATTCCAACTCATTTTCATAATCCTATAAGTTATTCAAACAATAACAAAGAAATTTCTTAATCCCTTTTGCCATAAAATTGAGAAATATATTCATGCGACCTGGGAACATGTTCACAGCCCTTCTTCCTTCTGATAACCGTTGTAGCATTTCAGCTTAAAATAAGTGGCCTGCTATTGGGGCATCAAGGAAACCACTGGTGAATATGAATGCTTCTCCAAAGAAAAGAGTACCTTCTGGCACCATTATTTGTATCTCAGAGGGTCCAAGTGGTTCAAGTAAAGGTTTGCATTTCTAGCAAAGCCTGAGGCAAGACCATCCATGTTTGGGCTGCTTGAAGGAAAACAGATGAATAGACTCCTCTCAGTATATGGACACATACTGCCATTTCTCATTTGCCATTTATTGTCCTTTAAAAAGTTGCTCCATTCTAAGGATTTTGGCAACCTTAAATGTGAACTCCAGGCATTATAAGAGGACAACTTTTCTCCTTTCAAGATGTCTGAGAACAGAGAGCCCTGCCACTCAGGCCTCAGCATAGAGATGCTGGATTTCCAGTACATATAGCTGTAAGAGGAACTCTGGTGGAGTAGTGGTTAAAGCATTCAGTTCCTAATCAAAAGGTTGGCATTTCTAATCTACCAGCAACTCCTTAGAAGAAAGATAAGGCACTCTGATTCCATAAAGGTTTATAGCAATGGAAACTCTATGGGGCAGTTCTACTCTGTCTTGTAGGCTCACTAAGAGTCAGAGTCGACCCAATGGCAGTGGGCTTTTTTCTTGGTTTAGCTACAAGACATTAGCCCAACATCTCCAACATTACTTTCTACCAGCTGTCAGTTTACAACTACCAAGAGATACCAATAGCCTGACCTGTGAGGGTCTGAGTAGGTTAAGAAAAAGAACAACCCTTTAAAAAAAAAAAGAAAGAAAGAAAAGAAACAGGTGGTTCTTAATGAAGCAGAACTAATAGAACAGACCAAACCAAATCAAACTTATTGCCCTCAAATCAATATAAACTCAGCAACCCTACAGCATGAATAAAACTGCCCCTTAGAGTTTCCAAGGCTATAAAACCCCTATGGAAATGGACTGCTACATCTTGGTCCTGTGGAGTAGCTGCTGGTTCAAACCTCTGAACTTTCAGTTAGCAGCCAAGTGCTTAACCACCGGGCTCCTAGTAGGATAGACAGACCTGCACTATAACAAAAATAAATGTAATAAGAATTCTTGAGGATATGCAATTAGATCACAGAAAATATTTCTGGAAGCAAAAACCATTATTTCTGAATTTTAAAATTCAATGAAGAAACCAAAAAGAATAATCACTTAAGAGAACTGAAGTAACATCCTGGAAAAATAAAGGGAAATAATATCTCATAGCAGAGAGAAACATTAACTGGAAACCATGTGTAAGAAGATATGAGAGAGGGGTAGATGATCCACAGATGGCTGATCCATGAGCCTAGTGTACAAATAATGAGCATTTTAAAAGTAGAACAAAAAATAGAGAAGTAATGATCACAGAAATGGTAGAAGTGCTATGACAAAGAGCAGCATGAATTTCCAGATTAAGAACGCCTTCTAAATCCTAAATGAATTAATGAAAGAAAATACATTCTCGTGCCATTTGTGATATCCAAAAATGAAGAACATGAGCTTCTGATGGAGAGATACTACTTACAAAGAAAAGAAAACCAATCCAATAGCAAACTGCTGCGCTGAAGCTGGGACATAGTGAGACAACATTTACAAAGCTCTGATGAAAAGGACTCTGGCCCAAGAATTTCATGCTCTTCCAATGTGTGATTTAAATGTGAAAAAAAAAAAAAAAAGAGAGACAGATTTCAGCTCAAAAGTATAATGCCTATTAACTCTTTCTGAAGAAATTACTCAAAGAAATCCTGCAAGCAAATAAAAATTAAATCAGAACAAAGACCTCAAAATAGTGAAAGACAAAGAGTATAAGAAATGGTGGTAAGCAGGATTTTTTTAGATTTATACAAAAAAAATAAAGTTGTCATTGAGTAGATTCTGATTCATTACAACCCAATCTGTCTCAGAGGATAAAGATGTTCCACAGGGTTTCAATAGATGAGTTTTCAGAAGTTTATCACCAGACCTTTCTTCTGAGGCACCTCTAGGTAGGCTTAAACCTGCAACATTTTAATTAGCACCCAAATGCGTTTAGCTCTGGTGGCATAGTGTCTAAGGCACTTGACTACTAACCAGAAGGCTGGTGGTTCAAACCCACCAGCCACTCCTGGGAAAGAAGACTGGGCAATCTACTTCCATAGTGATACCTCCTCAGAAACCCAAGGAGGGGTCTCTATGAATCCAGGCCAACTTGATGGCATATAACAACAACAACAAACGCATTCATTAACCCATTGCACCACTCAGAGACTACACCAGAGTGATAGCATATAAGAAAATAAATTATGGGCAAAAAAACGGTAAAAAATAAATAAAGATATACAAGAATATTAACAGATTTCTTTAAAATTAAAAAAATAATAAAGTAAACCAAAAATTATCATGTTAATTGTGAAGACCAGTTCACTAAAAACATTTAATGCCTGTCATACATCATACCTATAATGAATTTTCCAGGTAACATATTACCCTTACTTATATACCAAAAAAAATACCAAAGTCACTGCTGTCAAGTCAGTCCCAATTCATAGCAACCCCTCCTTGGGTTTCCAAGGGGGTATCTCTACGGAAGTAGATTGCCCAGTCTTCCTTTTCAGGAGTGGCTGGTGGGTTTGAACCTCCAGTCTTCTGGTTAGCAGTTAAATGCCTTAGGCACTATGCCAAATATATAGTATATAATATAAAGGATAGTTTGAAGAATGTTTTTACGGTGCAGTGAATTACTTGGCATGGCTCTTCTAGCCATGGTCTTTGTGATTCCCACTAGATGATTCAGGAGGACTATGCAAATGTGAGGTGCCTGTGGTCCACCAAGGGGATTGTTTAGCTTGTTTACAATGCAAATAAGGTACATGGTGCCCTTGTGGTGGTGGGACCATAGAAATGCAGTGTATGGAACACTAATCTGGGGATTGGTAAGTTTTGCCATCTCCTAGGCTTAAGATGAGCCATCCTAGAGACAGAAAAGGGAGTGGAGTGTGTCCTTGGACCCAAGATCCCTGTGCTGTACCTCCTTGGCAAAGAGCTGGCAGAAAGACAGTGACAGCAGAGGCAACAGAACCAAGAGACCAGCATGAGATAGAACATTGAGCTTCCTGGCCCACAGAGCAAGAAAGCTGAGTGCCTTCAAGCAGGAGTCTTGCTGGTGGAGTGGGGTTCCTCTCTGGGAACCAACAGAGCTAAAAGACCTTTGTAACACTTGCCTGTGCAAGGCAGAGGTCAGGCCGAGAGGCCCAGGCCAAGGGCCAAAGAAATGTGGGCCTACAGGCATGACTGAGGGGAGCCTGTCCTGATCAAAGAATTGTATCATGAGCATTCCTGAACCTGAATTGTAACCTGTTACTTCCCTAATAAATCCATAATCATGACTATTGTCTACAAGTTGTGTGGCCATTGCGACAAATTATCAAACTCAGCAGAGAAGTAGGGAGTATCATGGGAGGGACGCTTGGTGTCAGAATTGGTGAAAAGGTTAGAGGGTCTAACTTCCACCTCATAGGAATCAGCCTTGGGCTGATGCTTCTGATAGTAAGTCTGTCTCCCCCTCTTCCAATTATATGCGGTCAGAGAACAATGGCCCCCACAACCTTTTTATAGTTTTCCATTTGCTTTTTCCTTCAGACATTGACCTGTTATCTCAATTATTACCTTCCAAATCTTCCCTTGAAGCATCAAGTAATAGGCCTGTCTTGAAGGTAAATAAGTTCTTACCACATCCTACCCACTGCCTTCTCCACCTAGAACAAGAATCCAGAATAATGGAAGTGTACCCTGATGATAAGAAGGAGATCACTTAATTCTCTGGGCTGGGACTATAAGAGTTGGCTCAATAATCAAAAGGCAACCAAACAAAATAGAGGTCATATTTCTTGCTATACCTACTCAGAGCTACAGATCCTAACGGATCATAATGCTTATGTGGACTCTAACACAATATCTAATGGTGTTGTCTGCAATTTCCGTTTAAAGGAAATGAAAACACAACTCAAGAAGCCTGATGAAAGAAAGCCAATGGAAAATAAAGTCTTCCCCACCAGAAGAGCATCTCAGAATTTGAGATTAAGATATGCCACCAATATAACATTGAACTTCTTGAATAATTCCAAAGAAATACTATCAAATATATTTTAGATTTCACTCTACAACTTGGAAGTTATTAAGTGCTCTAGAAATCATGAGGAATTTCCTCTTGTTATCATTGGAAAATTTTGCTTCTTAGAACACAAGAAGGAAGTATAATCATTTCTCTTTTTATATTATGCCCAAACCAAAGAAGTCATTTAATGTCAGGTCTCTACTAAATGGAGGTTATAGACATCTAATGCTAATCCCCCCGGTCTGGTAATTTATGTTAAAGCTTCCTGTTCCCATCTCAAAATATGTAGTTAAAATGAAAACACTAGCATTCCTTTAGGATTATTTGTTTCCCTAACAAATAGACAAAATCAGCCAATAATGAAATGGGATTTTGAAAATTATAAATCCATCATGTTAAGATGCTTTCACCAAGGTTACCTGCACACTGACCACAATGACCAAAGATGTAGCCATGGTAACTGCAAAAGACTGGTAGTCGGCAATGTGCTGCCCATCTTCTCCAGCCGCATTGTAAAAGGCCCCATAGGGGATGAAAAAAAGTGCTAATGAAGTGTAGATTCCATGCACCACACAGATAAAAAATTTACGCTTGTTGAAAAGTAGATTTAGCTGTCCAGGTTCGTAGAGCTGGGGACAGTCCATGCTGCTCTGGTCACTCACATCCTGTTAAACAAAGTGATACTTCAGTGGAAAAGAGTTGAGGGAATACTAGAGAGACCTTGTAGTCTGTGTCTCCAGAAACAGCAAGTGCATTTTTAAAGTATGCCTTAATATATACTCTTCACTAAGCCAGAACAAGGCATTATCTTGTTTTCATTCCCACAATAACCTCAAAGATTTAAAAAAAAAAAAAAAAAAATGATCCCTACTTTACAGACAAGGAACCTGAGACTCAGAGAGAGACTCATGAGAGATCATAGAGCTATTAAGTAACAGATTCTACTTAAGTACTTGACTTGACTTTAATCCAGATAATTGATTTCAAATCAAAGGTTCTTTCCTATACTCTTCTACAGTCTGCCACCCCCAAGAAGCACTCACACTACCAGAATTCCAGTCTATTTTGTATAGTCAAAGGGCCCTGGTGGTGAATTGCCAAGGCAGTGAGTGGTAGTGACGAGAAGATGGCAAGAGAGAGCTACGGGGTGGGAACTGCCAAATCTGAGTTGTCAACTTTGACGGGAAATTCAGCAGGAGAGGAGGGACAGCAGAAGAGGAAAATTCCAGATGGGATTCCAGGTGTGGAGGGGACTAGAACTGAAGACTTTGGGTGTAAAGTGTTCTACCCAATGAGAATTGCAGTGGCAGTTACCAAGTGTTCAGGACAAGCAATTTGAACAGAATGAGACGGCACCAAACAGGTCTTGGGAGAAACTAAAGCAGCACTTCTCAAGCTTCATGTGCACACACTCGTCTGGGGAGAAAATTCTGATTCCGTAGGTCTGGGGTGGAGCTTGAGACTCTGCATTTCCAACTGACTCCCAAGTGATGCTGGTGGTCCCCAGATCACACTGTGAACACCAAAGCCAAATACTAAGAACCAAAATACATACCAAGAATCGACCACTGGGGACCATTGGAAGATCATGGGTAGAGGGATATGCAGCTGAAGAGGGAGCAACACAGACAATGAACTTGGGGGTGTAGGGGGAGATGAGGCTCCTCTTCCTGCTTGTGAGTGGCTCAAATCTTACTGAACTGGGTCCCATAAAGAACAGTGAAAATTCTCTTTAGAAACTCCTGCTTCGTGATACTATTGGGCTGCTATCTTCCCAAGCCCAGTGACTGGTGGGGTCATATGCACAGAAGTTGAAACCAGACAGTCCTGAGTTCAAACCCTAGCTCTGCTGCTTAGCAAGTATGTGCTCTTAAGCCTATTAATATGAGCCTCAGTTTCCACATCGGTAAGATGTAAACAAGAACACCTCCCTCACAGGACCATTGTCATGGTTAAAGGAACATGCAAAGTTCTCAGTAAGTTCTTGGACATAAAAAACCAAATTCATTGCCATCAAGTTGACTCTGATTCACAGCAACCCCCATCAGGTTACCAAGGCTGTAAATCTTTATGGAAGCAGACTGCTCCATTTTTCTTCTGCAGAGTGGCTGATGGGTTCAAACCCCAGACCTTTTGGCTAGCAGCCAAATGTCTTAATGACTACACCACCAGAGCTCCTTAAAAAATAGTAGATGTTTCTATAAATAATGATAAACATAATAATGATAACAGTAAAAATGATGGGTGCCATTGAGTTGATTTCAACTCATAGTGATGTGATCCCCTGTGACAGATTTAAGGAAGTGGATCACCAGGTCTTTCTCTCACAGATTGGCTAAGTGGATTTGAACCACCAACCATCCAATTAGTAGCTGAACATTTAATCCTTGCACCACCACGGTTACTTGGCAAAAATGTAACAACTTCAAAGTAAAGCAGCTTAGGGACTGGGCCTAGTTCTGTCACTTATGAGCTGCACAGCTTTAGGGCAGTCACTAGAATCTCTGAGCCTTGGTTTCCTCATAATAAAATGAGAGAACCATGGATTACCGCTGAGGCCATTCCATCATAGCATTCCATGATGCTGTGATCAGTTTAAGGGCCAAAGCTGACAGCGGGGGAAGTGCAGGGGGAGACACTCAACTTGACGGCAATAGGGACTTTATTATATTTTTTTTTTCAGATTGCACAATAACCATCTTTCCCAGAATCTGCTTTCTTTTTATTATTTTATTCCACATTCTGGGCAGCTATAAAGCACCGAGAAAAGAAACACTTGTAAACACGGGCACTTGGAAATGACAGTGCTTAACCCTTTATATCTAAGGTCTTCAGGAGTTCATTTTTTGTAGAATTCCACAAAGTAAGCTGTTCACAAATTGCCCTTTTTACATATGAGAAGTGAGACTTCTAACTGACTACAAAGCCAGCAGAATGGGAGAGCAGAATGAGCTCATAATATGAAGATTTATATTTTGTAATATAAGGCTTTGGGCCAGAAAGTAGGGCCCAGCCAATGGGTCTAAGAACAGCCTGGAGAAAATCTGGTCTTCTTAAAAATATATATATATTTTTAAATAATACACTCTAATTGTGCCATGGAAACTCCTCTGGCAAGCCTTCCACTTCCCCATGGGCAGCCAGACTATTTTCCCCTTCCAGGAAGTACTTTCCAAGGCTCTGCATGTGCCAAAGATGTACCATTATTTAATTGATTCCCTGCCTTCTCCCCTCTGAAGCACATTGATGTTAGACAAAAGAAGACTCTGTACCCTTCTCTCCATGACTGGCATGGGGCTTCATGTCCTCCCCTCTCTGGCAGACTGCTATGCTTGCCTGTGGTTACTGTTCTAGGGCTGTGCTGGCCAAGGAAGCCCCACTGCAGACGCTTGCCCTCTGTACTCCCACCTAGTTCCATGATTTTCTGTCAATGCCTGGTTGTCTATTTTAAAAATTTAAAAATGGTATTGCAGTATTTCCCAGTGTGTAAACCATGAGCTCTGGGATGTATTACTAGGTGATAACCAAACCAGTTGCCATAGAGTTGATTCTGACTATGGTGACTCCATGTGTGTCAGAGTGGAACTGTGTTCCTTTAGGGTTTTCAATGGCTGATCTTTCAGAAGTAGGTCACCAGGCTTTTCTTCCAAGTCACCTCTGATGGACTCAAACCCCCAACCTTTTAGTCAGCAGCTGAGTATGTTAACCATTTTCATCACCCAGGGCCTCCATCAATAGGTGATAGATGGTGGTGGGCATGGGGGGACTGCAGTCATACGAGTCTGGGAAATGCTAGGCTAAATGAAGGAATTCTTAGAGTGTTTAGAGCATGAATGTTGAGTGCCAACCTCTAAGATGAATAAATAGTCAAACTTTGACCCAATAATCTTTTAGGAGAGTGAATCTGGAAGAGTTTGGGATCCACCAACACCATTGAAACAATTGCATTTCTGGGACTCTTTCCATGAATCATGCCTTCTATTTAGCAGGTAGAAGCGATCAAAAGGCTTCAATAGAGCAAAATAAGTTGTAAAAATGGAGAAAAAAATACATACCTGGTCAAAAATCCCCATGGCTAAAACAGGCAGTGATGTGTAGACAATGTTGAAAAGGGTGATGAACCATTGGTCATAAACAGTCTGAAAAGAAAGAACATATCAACAAGAAACACCACTGATAACAGTGAGACTATTCAAGCTCTTGGGTTCAATAACACAATTTGCTGATTTGGATGGGAATTTGGTTTTAGACTCAGACAGATGTAAGTTCTTCCCTAGGCTTTTTCTCTCATAAGCTCTGCTGCCTTAGTGGGATGCTTTGTTTTGTTGTTGTTGTTGTTTGTTGTTTTGCCATCGAGTCGGCCCCAACTCATAGCGACCCCTCCTTGGATTTCTGAGGCAGTATCACTATGGAAGTAGGATTGCCCAACCTTCCTTCCGAGGAGTGGCTGGTGGGTTTGAACCGCTAGCCTTCTGGTGAGCAGTCAAGTGCCTTAGGCACTATGCTACCAGAGCTCCTAGTGGGAGCTAGATCTCTCTAAATTTCAGTGTCTTCCTCTCTCAAATGATGCCAATACTCTTCCCACAGAGTTGTAGTGGACATGATATGAGATAACATGTGTAGAACACTTAACAAAATACCAGACATACATTAGACCCTGATCTCTTATTGTGGGTTATTAAATTCTCCATTTTCAATGGTTTATAATGAATCTAATTATCAGATATAAGGGATAAAAAAAGTATCCAGTAAAATCTTCAAAGGAATATACAGAAATACAAACCTGTCAACACAACCCTGGATTCATATAGAGAGCTTTTTCTTGAGAGTGTTTTAAAGGAAGGTGAGTATGAAGCTAGCTGCTCACTGTGCTGGGTATAAACAAGGAAGACAATAAAAATATGGCCTCAAATATATAGAGGGTAAGTAACACAGAGTAAGTATGAATAAAAGAATAAGTTTGTTCTGGTTCATGGGTCACTATGAGTTGGAATCCACTCAACAGCACGTAACAACAACAACAACAAAGTTATACAAGTCTTTCTTGTTTCAGCTCACTAAAAACCAATGATGTGTGTGAAGTAGGTATATTCTCATTTTAGAGATGAGTAAATAAGGTGCAGAAATGCAAAAAGTCTTTCAAAGTCACAGAACCTATTATAGGCAAAGGCAGAGATTAAAGCCAGTTTCTAATCAATGACTTTCCTTTTCATATCACTGAACCATTCAACAAATATTTATTAACAAACTACTCTGTGCCAAGTACTGAGTTCTAGTCAACAATAATTCAGTATGATCAAATCACAGAATTTATATTCTACATTCTTTTAAAAAAAGCAAGATCAAAAATGTGCTTGTGTGTAGCTATACATATATAGATATCTATACATATAGAGAAAGAGATGACATTCTGGTGGCACAGGGGTTAAAATATTTGGCTGCTAAGCAAAAGTTTGGAAGTTTGAACCTTCCAGTTGCTCTGCAGGTGAAAGATGAGGCTTTCTGCTTCCATAAAGATTTATAGCCTTGGAAGCCCTATGGAGCACTTCTACTCTGGCCTATAGAGTCACTATGGTAGGAATTGACTCAATAGCAGTGGATATATGTAGAGAGAGTTAGTTACAAAGTTAAGTGCTAGGGAGGAAAGGGAGATAGGACATGTGGGAAGGTTGTAGTTATAATAAATTGATTGGAGAAGATCTCACTGTGAAGATGACATTTGAGAAGATCTGAAAGAAATGAGAGATTGAAATATGCAGCTTTCTTGGACAAGAGCATTCCTCACTGCAAGTAAATCTGGTGAAAAATTCCTAAAGAAAGAAAGTGCCTAAATTGTCCCAAGGACAGCAAGGTAGCCCATTTGGCTGGAGTAGTGATCCATAGGGAAAATAATGGATAGGTCACAGGGGTAAGTAGAAGGGTCCTATGTAGGTCCAGGAGCTCTGGTAGCATAGTGGCTAAAGCACTTGACTGCTAACCAGAAGGCTGGCGGTTCAAACCCACCAGCCACTCCTCGGAAGGAAGGGTGGGCAATCCTACTTCCGTAGTGATACTGCCTTGGAAACCCAAAGATGGGTCACTATGAGTCGGGGCCGACTCGACGGCATACAACAACAACATGTAGGTCCAAAAAGTCCAAATCTATTCCATTGAGTTGATTCTGATGCATAGCAACCCTACAGGACAGAGTAGAACTGCCTCATAGGGTTTCAAGGCTGTGAATCTTAATAGAAGCAGACTGCCCCTTCTTTTCCCCATGGAGTGGCTGGTGGGTTTGAACCACCAACATTTTGGTTAGCAGCCAAGCACTTTAACCCCTGAACCACCAAAGCCTCCTTCCTATATAAATAATAGTGGCTTAATCCCAAGTGAAACAAGGTGGCATTAGAAGATTTTGAGCAAAGGAGTAGCCTGATTTGGTTTGCATTTTAACAGGATCTAGCCAGAAACCATGAGACAGTGTTCCACTGTTATTCATAAGGTTTTCACTGGCCAATACTTTGAGAAGTGGATAGCCCTTTCCTTTTTCTGAGTCTATCTTAGTCTGGAAGCGCCACTGAAACCTGTCCACCATGGGTGACCCTGCTGGTATTTGAAATACTGGTAGCATAGCCTCCACCCTCACAACAACACACAAGACACCACAGTATCACAAACTGACAGACCAGTGGTAGAAACTGTACATAGACCAGGAGACTGTCATTTGAACAGAATTAGGGGATACTGCACATTTTTAAATCAGGAAGGGAGTGCATCAGGATTGTATCTTTTCACCATACTTAGTCAATCTGTATGCTGAGCAAATAATCTGAGAAACTGGACTATATGAAGAAGAACATGGCATCAGGATTAGAAGAAGACTTATTGATGGCCTGCAATATGCAGAGAATACAACCTTGCTTGCTGAAAGTGAAGATGACTTGAAGTACTTACTGATGAAGATTAAAGACTACAGTCTGCAGTATGGCTTACACCTCAACATAAAGAAAATGAAAATCCTCACAACTGTACCAATAAAGAAGAATCTTTATCATGATAAATGGAAAAATGATTGAAGTTGTGAAAGACATCATATTCCTTGGTTTGACAATCAACACTCATGGAAGCAGCAGTCAAGACATCAGACGATGTATTGCACTGGGCAAATCTGCTGCAAAAGACCTTGTTAAAGTGTGGAAGAACAAAGATGTCTCTTTGAAGACTAAGATGCCCCTAACCCAAGCCATGGCGTTTTCAATCACCTCATATGCATGTGAAAGCTGAACAATGAATAAGGAAGACTGAAGAAAAGTTGATGCTTTTGAGTTGTAGTGTTGGTGAAGAAGACAAAAAGTACTATTGACTGCCAGAAGAACTAACAGACCTGTCCTGGAAGAAGTGTAGTTGGAATACTCCTTAAAAGTAAGAATGGCCAGACTTCGTCTCACCCACTTTGGTCATGTTATCATGTTGGAGAAGGATATCATGCTTGGTAAAGTGGAAGGTCTGGAAAAGAAGGGATGACCCTCAACGAGATGGATTGACACTGTGGCTGCAGTGATGGGCTCAGGCATAGTAAGGATTGTGAGGCTGGCACAGGACCAGGCAGCGTCTCATTCTGTTGTTCATAGGGTCACGATGAGTTGGAGCTGACTCAATGGCACCTAACAACAACAACAAGCAGGATACAGTGTTGAGAATAGACTGAAGAGGACCAATGTCAGAAACTGGGAAACCAATTAGAAGGCTATTGCAGTGGTCCAGATGAAAGACAAAGGCGACTAGACTAGGTGACCAGAAGGACAAGTGTCAGAGTTTGAATACCTTCTGAAGCACATTTTCTTCCATGGGAACTTCTGAAAGTGGAGAGGAAGCTTAAATGTAAATGTTTCAGACAGAGAAGCTAATGTTCTGCTTAGTTATATAAATAAAGCAACCATTTAAATTATGTCCTTTGCTTGTAGATTCTGTTGAAGAGAAATCTGGATTTAGACTACTTCTGCTTAGTTATATAAATAAAGCAACCATTTAAATTATGTCCTTTGCTTGTAGATTCTGTTGAAGAGAAATCTGGATTTAGACTACTCCATGTCTGAGCATTGTTGCTTACTCTTGAGATGGTTGTTCAAGGACATGGGAAGCACTAGTTCCAAATGTCAAGCAATCTGGATGGTTCTGCTGAAGATCCACAGGTGATTTTATTCAACAGTGAAATAGAGCAGACATTAGGAAATATAATGATTGCTCTATTCTGAGTTATCATCAGCAAGGTTAGCCACTGTGGGAAGGGGTAAGGGACACGGACATTTCCACTGTCAGTCATCTTATGGGTAAGTCAGTCTTCAAAACCAAACCAAACGCACTGCTGTCAAGTTGGATCCGACTCACAGTGACCCCTCCTTGGGTTTCCAAGGCGGTATCACTATGGAAGTAGATTGCCCAACCTGGGGAAAAAAAAAAAAGAGGACAGAAATGGGGAGAGGAGAGTTGGGGTAGATGAGTGAAGTGAAGAAATTGTTTTAACTTCTATGTATCTCAGAGAATTGAGGCTTAGAATCCATGTAGGAAAAAGACTTGCTCAAGATCATCCTCATTGAGGGCCAACCAAAGCTAGGCAGGAAAGTTGAATTCTAACACCAATAGCCAAGATGGGATTTGGGTGTAGTGCCTAAGGCATTTGGCTGCTAACCAGAAGTCTGGCAGTTCAAACCCACCAGCCACTCCTCGGAAGGAAGATTGGGCAATCTACTTCCTTAGGGATACTGCCTTGGAAACCCAAGGAGGGGTCGCTATGAGTCAGGACTGACTCAACCGCAGTGAGTTTGGTGTTTATGGGTTTTTTTAGAAACATTGGAGACCATCATCACCATTAAGAGACAGGATTGGAACTCTGAATCACCATATCTAATAACCAATTTTAAGTTCTCTGCATGGTAATTCCCTTTGAGTCCTGTTATCCTATTAGATTCATTGGTTGGAACTCTGCTGTAAAGGATTTGAAAAGGGGACCTATGTTCAGTGATATCCAGGTAAATGTTTAAAAGTAGCTATTAGAAAAAGAAGAAGAAAAACAACCCTGATTTGTAACATTTGCCAATTTCCATGGTGTGAAGATTTCTCCATGGTCAATTTCAAGCAGCAATATCAGTAAATGCAGAAA